CCCCCCAGGTGAGACAATAGTCAATAACCACAGCCCCACTTACCACGTGTTCGATTCACGAAACCCTAACCCTCTTCTCCCATATTTTTTTCCCCTGAAACTCATGAATTTCTTGGAAGGATTGAGGTAAACTAACCAAAAGGAGCAAGCTTGAAGAGTTCCCAATCAGTAAACCATGGATCAAACCGACCACCGACACAGCATGGTCCACCCTCCTCCTCCTCCGGCAACCTCGGCTCTCCTCACCGGATCCAGCCACGTGGACTCATCCCTCGTCATTTCTTCCTCTAAACCGAAAACAGCAGCCGCAATTCCTCCACCGAAACGATCATCAAAAGATCGGCACACAAAAGTCGACGGCCGCGGGAGGCGCATCCGCATGCCGGCCGCTTGCGCCGCCCGCGTGTTCCAACTCACCCGCGAACTCGGCCACAAATCCGACGGCGAAACCATCGAATGGCTTCTCCAACAAGCAGAACCAGCCATCATCGCCACCACCGGGACCGGAACCATTCCGGCCAATTTCTCATCCCTGAACGTATCTCTCCGCAGCACCGGATCTTCTCTCTCTGCTCCCACCTCCAAATCCGCCCCTCTTTTCACCCACCACTACGAAATCACCGATCCCTCCTCCATGCTCGCCTTCCAGCAGCCCGACGTCCCGCTCGTCGCCGAATCCACGGATACATATCTGAGGAAACGATTCAGAGAAAATCTTTTCAAAGAGGAACAAGAGGGTGCAGGGGCTGCAGCGTCGTCTTCTCCTCCGAAACCCGGATCCAGGCCTGTTATCCCGGCGACTATGTGGGCGGTGGCGCCGGGGAGTAGCGGCGGAGCAGGGGCGTTCTGGATGCTTCCGGTGACGGCACCCGAAGCGCCTTCTTCGTTATGGACGTTTCCCACTGCGGGGGCGAGCTCGATGCAAGCGCCATTACAGTTTGGTCGAGCTATGGGTGGGATGCAGCTGGGTTCCATGTTTCCTGCAGTTCAGCATCTAGGGTTAGGGATTTCGGATTCGAATCTCGGAATGATTGGTTCCATTAATCCTTATAGTCGGAGTGGCAGAGGTGGAGGTGGAGAAGGAGGGACGGTGATGAATGCCGATCATGGATCGGGGATTGATCGTCGGCGATCGTCGCAGAGCGGCGGAGGAGAGGGGAATAGCAATTCTCAGTAG